ATATGGTAAACATGAGGAAATTAAATCTTCATCAGAGTACAAAACAAATTCTGGCCACAAAATAGAGCGAAACACCAACGTCAAAGACCTGGGAGTGATTATGTCGGAGGATCTCACCTTCAAGGACCATAACATTGTATCAATCGCATCTGCTAGAAAAATGACAGGATGGATAATGAGAACCTTCAAAACTAGGGAGGCCAAGCCCATGATGACGACTCTTCAGGTCACTTGTTCTATCTAGGCTGGAATATTGCTGCACTCTAACAGCACCTTTCAAGGCAGGTGAAATTGCCGACCTAGAAAATGTACAGAGAACTTTCACGGCGGCATAACGGAGATAAAACACCTCAATTAGGGGAGCGTTTGGGGTTTTCAAAACCTGTTTCCCTGGAACGCAGGGGGGAGAGATACATGTTTATATACCCCGGGAAAACCTAGGGGACAGTACGAACTTGCAACGAAAATCACTCACTACAAAAAAAAGACTTGGCAGACGTGCACCATCCCCCATGAAAAGAGGGTGTCACTGCACTTTAAAGAGACCATACAATAAGTGTCAGGGGCCCGAGACTTTCAACTGCCTCCCAGCACCAAAGGGGGGATTCCCAAAGCCCCCCTGGCAGTCTTCAAGCTGGCACTGGACAAGCACCAAAAGTCAGTTTGATCCCGGGTGTGGTCGTCGTTGGTTGGTGCACCCAGCAGCAAAGTGGTTGATCAGGCGCTGACCCACCGGGAGGCCTGGTCACGAGGGTCGCGGGGGCTTGCCCCCCGAAACTCTCTCCAGGTAACTCCAGACCTTTGCAAAAAATCCTAACAAAAAAAATTTTTAAAAAAGGGTCCTAAGAAGCAAGATCGCCCACCCATCTAGATCCCCATGAATTACAAAACCCCAGGGCAACATGGGTTTAGAGCAGGCGTCCGTCTGTCTAATTTGGGTCACTACAACAAGGCCCAATGCACTAGAAAAAAAAGAATGCAGATGTAATATATACAGACTTTCCAAAACCCTTCGAAAAGTGTGAAAAATGGCATAATAGCGCACAAAAATGCGTGCAAAAGGAATAAAGGAAAATTTGGGTTTGTGGATCAAAATTTTCGTCACAAATTGAACACAAAGAGTATAGTAACAGAGTGTCTGAGGGGCTCGGTAAAAAGTCTGTTCCAAAAAGGCACAGTATCACCCCCATCCTTTTTCCCATCCTCATATCTGACTAACAAGGTGTCAGCCACAAACCGTGTTTCCTTTGCAGATGACACCCAAATCTGCTGGCATGTTTTCCATTGAGACACTGAAAGGCTCCGGGCGGACATCAACCAAATTTTTCAATGAGCTGCAGAAAACAATATAAAGCCCACGATGAAAAAATTTTCAATTACTCCGATAGGTAAATATGGGGGAAAAATTAAAACTTCATCAGAGTTTAAAACAAAATTTCGGCCAAAAAAATAGGGGAAAAAAACCAAACTTTCAAAGCCCTGGGAGTGATATGTCGGAGGACTCCCCTTCAAGGCCCATAACTTTATATCAATCGCATTGCTAGAAAAATGACAAATGGATAAGGGGAACCTTAAAAAACTAGGGACCCAACCCCATGATGACACTCTTCAGATCGCTTGTTCTACTGGGCTGAATATTGTGCACACTAACAGCACTTTTCAAGGCAGGTGAAATTGCGGCCCTAAAAAAATGACAGAGAACCTTTCACACGCGCATAAGGGAATAAAACACCTCAATTACTCACCCAAAACCAAAAAAATTTACTGAAAAACTGAACCTTATAAATTGTAATTTTAAAATTTTTTCTCAAATTATATCACATAAATGTTAAACCCAAGACCCAATCCAATTTTGTTTTTTTTTAAATACACTACCTAACAAATACTCCATTCTACTGAATGTAAGAATGCATGCAACCTATGACCTCTCTTTGTAATATCTTTGTGTTTTTATTATTATCTGTTTAAAATAATGTTTTCTCATGATTACTCATTGCTTATTAATTTAAGTTTTTTTTTAAACCTCCCCTGTAATGCTATGCATATAAGGGGTTTTGGGCAGGGCCTCTTCCCTGTATTTTTTGTCCCTCTGTATGTAGTTACAAATTATAAAATAAATAATAAAATAAAAAATTATCGGGGAAATTTTACTTTGTTTTGATTAAAATTTATTTGCGAAATACTGGGAAATCGCCTAAAATGTGTCGGGGGGGCGTGTCGTATCGGGAGGGCAATAGGGGTTTGCCTGGCAGATTATGGTCGAGGGCCACGGAGTTTTAAAGGGGGTTTTGAGGGGTTTGGGAGGGAAAGGGGGGGGCTTTTTTTTGGTTTTGGATTGGCAGGGAGCTTATGTCGCAGGGAATGGGGGCGTTGCGGCAGATCCTTCTAAAGCAGGATGGTGGAGACATTGTATCGAGGGGCCGGGTGGTGTGCAAAATTTAAGGGGCATAGGGGGAAGCCGTGTGTATGGGGCGGGGGGCTAGGCAAGGATGTCCACTATCTAAATTGTTTGCCTTTTCAAGACCCTTTTTCAATCATTGAGGCATGTATCTGTGGAGGGGTGAGGACGGGGGGTGGGGGTGGGTGGGGGGGTTTTAGGGTCGTCGAGACACTCGGTTTGTGGGGAGGGAAATAGTTTGGAGAGGGGGAGAGGTATTCGTACGTTTGGGGGTACGGGGATGGGGTTAATGTGGGAAATCTGCTTCTTAAGTGGGGAAAATTTGGGAATGGCAGGGGGGTTGGGGTGCTGGTGTGGAAATGGAGGGGGGTGGATAGCTTAAGTATGTGGAATAGGTTTATGGAGAATCAAGTGCGGCGAGAGAGGTAAATCAGAGCGTTTGTGGAAAAAGGTGAACTAGATTGGGGAGCTTGCGCCCGTTTTTCATTTGACATTGTTGCAGAGGGCCATCAAGCGCACTCTCGCTTTATCTTCAGATGTTCCTGACTATGGAACTAACTCTCCAGGCTGAGGGGGCTGACAAAAACCCCAAATTTACGACTTCATGGGCGATGGGGCTGTTTCATCGTCTTTACATCTTACTGTTCCTGCCTACTTTTTGTATCGCTGAAGAAGCCCCCGTGTAGGCAAAACGTTTCGGGAATAAAGTTGCCCAATGTTTCCTGTGTTTTACCTAACCCTATCAACTTATTTTTTTAAAGTACTTTGTTTTATTAAAAATTTTTTTGTTTTGTTTCCTTTAAATTTTATATTAATTTTAGGTCACAAACCCGGGACTGTTTTTTTTTAAGTGTATGTTTTCATGCAAGTTTTTCATGTATGGTTTACGTTAATATACAGAGTTTTTACATACAAGTTTTGTGCATTTTTTTTTCGTATGTTCAGGGGTGGGTAGAAATCATTTGTTTAAGGAGGTGTATTTCTTATTAAAAGGGTTATGTTTTGTGATTTCGTTAATCATGTATGATTAATGATATTGTTTTTCTGTGTGCTCTAAATAAAACATCACAGTTAGGGGATGAATAGCTACGGAAGTTTAGGGACATACAATGCTAATATTACAATGTAAATTAAGAGGCCAGAACTTAGGAGGTTATAAAATTATCAGGGAGCCTCACAAAAGCTGGATGCCCCCAGTAAGGAGCCACCCCCAAATATGCAGATCGATGGCAGCCAGAAGCGTCCCCGATGGTTCACCCCTTTAAGCCCGGACAGATGGGAAGCAGGTGGTGTGGGAAATATACATGTGGGGCCCAGTGGCCCGGGGCTAAAGTCCCCCCTTTACACCGGAGGGCCCCGGGGTTTTGATTCCCCGGGGGGTAGAAAATTTCGACACGTTTCCTTACACCTGTTGTCCTTTTACTAGCAGCAAATAGGTACTGGGTTTGTGATGGTGGGGGTGCTCCCGGGGGACAAGATTTAAAGGGCCCCAATGGAAATAAGTTAGACAGCCTCGATTGCCACTACTTTTTTGGGGTTTTGGGTGGTAAACCCCCCGGGGTTAAAAAAAACCCAACGAAACTTATCTTATCTTATCTTATGTGCATCTACCTTGGTGATACCCCATCTCCCCAAAAACCGGGGAAGGAGGGGGACTGCCATTCAGGGGGTCCCCAAAAATTTGAAAAAATTTAGAAATTTCCCATCATTATATGTTTGTTCCCATAGGCTCAGAGCCCCTTGGTAAAAGGGGAAAGAGTGCATCAAATTCCTTAAGGAGCTGGGAAAAAATCACAGGGTAACTAGGGATCCCCGGGCAGCTAGTTTTTTGTTCCAGCGGTCAGTGGGCGCAAAGGGGGAATGCCCGCATATTTTGGGCACACGCCCAGCTCTGAGGAGCTGGATGGATTTTCCTTATAATCGGTGATACACACGTAACAAAATGTACCTTAATGCCACCTTTATACATAATGTATCTCTTAAATCTTCTTACCAATTATGTAAAAAATATTCCTTTAGTAAAAAAAATAAATATAAAAGATGGGGTGGTAGGGGGGAAATGGAAAATTCAACGGCTTTTGGAAAAAATCCAAATATTTTTCCTTTTAAGCCTTTTTATCCACTTTTTTTCCCAGGTGTGGGTCCCCCCAATTTACACCCGAGGGGGACCCCCTCCATATTAAAAAAAAAAAAACTTTGTATATACAGTTTTCATAAAGAAAAATACAAATGTCAGGGTTTTGGTAGTAGCATTTTGTTATGTATGTTCAGGGTAGGTTTATCCGTTAGTTATAAGGGGTGTTTTTTTCTTATAAATGTTTTCATGTATTGTGATTACGTCCATGTGTGATATGCATGTATACTGTATATTTTAAATAAAATAAAAAAAAAACTATTGTACAACTATGATAAATTTCTTTAGTGTTAAGTAGTCAGTAAGCCATTAAATTAAGTCGGCCAATAATGCCTAGGCATAATAGAGGATCTCTTTGCATTGCAACCCATTATTGAAAAAAATATAATCTCAATGTACTACTTGCAAATATATAAATAAATTTGAAATTTGAATAAGGGGAGGGTGATGATGGGGGTAATGTGGCAGCCATTGTTGGTGGTGGTGGACGCCGCCGCCGCTGCCGCCGCCGCCACAGCTACTCTCTCTCTCACTGTGGACGTGGCTGAGGTAACATCATCTGTACTGTATTGGTGTGTTTCAGCCCACAACCATCACTCCACTGCCTTGGATCATTCATCAATATGGTCAGTGTCTCGTGCATTACTTCAAACATGTTTTTAATACTTGATATCCACTAGGGTGTGTGAAACTTTTGGAAATAAGACTTAAATTAATGTCCATATGTTCAAAATGGCCGACTCTCTGAGGCTCTTGTAACTCGTGCGACTTTGTTGGTGATCCATGAATGTAATGTATGTATGGAAAGTTTAGACTTGGGTGAAATAACTAATAGGAATGACACATGAGAAAGACTTTGTAAATATAAGAACGTAAGGAAGGAGTGCGGCCGTAGGCTTATTGGCCCCCATGCTGTGTAGTTCTAACTCAAACCCACCCACCCACTCTTGTATTTCTCTTAAATATTTTTAAATCTAGGTTTTCGTTTAAATGACGCCCCTCTGGTGTTTTCCACTTTTCCACAACTCTTACCAAACAATGGAAATAGTGACATTTTTGGGTTATCTTAGGTTCTCGACACACGCTGCTATGTATGATAATGTAACGGTATTTGTCTATACCTGAACAAACTTGTATGCTTGTACTACTTTCGTACATTTCTGAATCTAAATTTTTCCAATGAACTCATTCCTGCGATTCATGTCTTGGAGAGCTAAGTTTTTAAGCATGTTGGAGTGAACAAGGTGTGAAGGGATTCAGGGAAACAGGTTAGCCGGGCTTGAGTACTGGAAATGGGAAGTATAATGCTTGCACTTTAAAGGAGTAGTTTGGAATATTGGCAGTTTGGAGGGACATCTAATCTGTCGTATCTGAGTGCCTCTGCAAAAACTAATTATGCATGAGTGATGGCGGAAGTGTTGAATGATGAAAGTTTTTTTTTTCTTTTGGGGTTTTCCTTTCTTTTTGGGTCTCTGCCTCGGTGGAAAACTGCCGACGTGTTAAAAAAAAAAAGGTTAGTTTCTTTATCAACTTGCATTTTTTCCTATTTTCCTATATTCCATTTATACATTGCAATCCAGGAAGATTTGAATCGACTGATGCAGTGGTCAGAGAAGTGGCAGATGCAGTTTAATATAGACATGCAAAGTTCTAAGCAGTGGACAGGAAAATAACCATGCCATATATAAACTAAATGTGGATCCTAATATTACTGATCGTAAAAAAAGATTTGGGAGTTCTGGTTAACAGTAATCTAAAACCATGACAAGAAGCATAAATAATTAGTCCTCAGGTTCTTCAACTCTATAACCTTGGTTAGGCCTCATTTAGATTATGCTGCACAGTTTTGATCACTATTACAGAATGGATATAAATGCTCTGGAAAATATACACAGAAGGATGACAGTTAATCCCATATATCAGAAATTTTTTCCTACTAGGATAGACTGGGGGCCCTGCACTCTAGAAAGATGTAAAATTAGGGGGGATATGATTGAGGTGTATAACTGGAAAACAGGAGTAAATAAAGGGGATGTAAATAGCGTGCTAAAAATATCTAGCATAGACAGGACTCGCAGCAATGGCTTTAAGTTGGATAAATTCAGATTCAGGAAGGATATATAAAAACACTGGTTTGATGATGATTGTTGATGAGTGAAACGCTTCCAAGTACTGTCATAAAGCTAAAACATTGTGTAGTTTCAAAAATAGGTTAGATAAATACATGAGTGGGTGAGAGTTGGACCTGACTAGCTTGTGCTACTAGATCTGATGCTGTGCTCAAGTGAATGACCTACCTGACTAGGTTGGGTCATCGGCTTAAGCTGGTGGCAGACTTGGCCCTTCCTCGCATGGGCCAGTAAGCCTGCTGCAGTGTTCCTTCTTATGTTCTTATCCTGTCAACCTAACTGCAGCTTTAGGGCCCTCATTCTATCCTTGTAAGTAAGCAAGTTTTTTTAATATTTTATTGAAAATACGCTTCATTACAACAATGGACCCTGTAACCAAGGGTGAAAAAGAATTAAAACAAAATATACAATGTTGCATCATACTGGCATACACAGTTTACCTATAACCCATTACATGTGACAGACAAAAGCTAACAGTTACACACTAGGGATACATGTAACTGAACATAGGTTATAGAAGAATCACCTACACCAAAAATACAATACATTAATATACACATCCCTGACCATATTATGAACTTTGCCTTTGAACAGCACTTATTAAACATGTACCTATATGGCTAGGTGCACAAAGAAAAAGGTGGTGTATGTGGTACTAACCAGTAACTTGGCCTGACACTACATCAGGTCATAAATATAACTAGAGCAATTTAGTATGTACATACATGATGCGTGCTTCTGTTAAAACCAATAAAAACATAATGCCGTATAGTGACTTATACCGACCTTTCCCACTTCCCTTAAACAGATTACAAACTCTTACCTAATTGATTATTTCCCCTCCTACACACTATGCCAAAACGACACAACGGCTATTTCATACATTCCCCAATACACCTAAAACAGGTATGTTATACCACAAGAATACAAATGCATACCCAGTCATACAATTATAAACCAGACATGTATCCAAGCCCTCACCTTGCATATTACTTAATTTTGTCCCTCTCAAGATGATCTCAATCATGTTACTCTGTCCCACCCCTCTGGACATCCCCACATTGTTGCATAAGCCAGGATCACAAGATGTGTTGGACTTTCCATAAAATTATTAACATGACCCTAAGTACCATGATATCATACCTGAATTAGTTTACAATGGGAGGCAAATCTTTTTTGCTGTCCCATGCAGTGTTCTCAGACTTCTGCTATTATACGCTGCTACAAAGGCCTTCTGCAGAGGACATTAACAAATATTAATTAACACAAAGAATGCATGAACTCAGCACTCCTATGCACATCCTAATTAAACACAATCCTTCTCACTTTCACCTATCACTCGCCCACACATGCACGTCAAACCAACATCTTTCGTCTGGCAAGCCCGTTTGGTACAACCCCCCCCCTTTTATCGAACGCTTTACACAACAAACTAAACCCACTTCCCCCCCCCTCTCACAACTCGAGCAACTCCCCAACAGTGATGGACCTGTAACCCTCAGTGAAATCTCTCTCCCATCTCCTCCCATATATTTCCCAATTCCTATTCGTTGTCCTACAAAAAATCCTCGCTAAAACTCGTTTCCTCGTCTTCCCATTATCCACCCCTCTCATTCCCCACGATATGTACACGAAATCTACCATTATATAAGCTACTCCCCGTGCTACATTCTCCCCCACCCCCCTGTATCAAGACTTAGCTCTCTCAACACTGACACCCCAGTTCCTCCTATCCTCCTGACCACGTTCCCCAGCCATTCCCTCACACTCCCCAAAAGTATACCACGTGATACTGTCTCCACCTCCCCACATAACCCACACCAACCCTCCTTTATGGCATGTCTATTTCTGAGGACTGATCCAGTAGGCAGAATCCCATGTAAAAAATTTAAACATGATCTCTCGCACCCTGGGCCCTAGCTTTAGTTTACCGAACAGGCTCCATATAGCATCCCATGCATACATCGGGAACAGCCCCCCAGCTGAGGCTCTCTCTCCTCTACCCTCAATATTCGATATAAATCCCCCACCTGTAATTTCTCTGGCTCGCGTGCTCACAAAGGTGCCCTCAACAAAATCTCACTCCCTCCATTCCCCACCTCTATACATTACCCTCAAAATGTCATGCAACCTTTGCATGCGTCCCCCCCCCTCTGTCCCTGTAGTCTTTTCCACTCCCACCTGATGAAAATGCTTTTCACTCTCCTTCCCAGGTCCAACAAACCTAAACCTCCCTTCCTCACCGGCAGAGTCACCACCTCCCTCTTCATCCATTCACATCCTGAGCCCCATAAGAACCTAAAAACACTTGTAAGGATACGAGTAATCTCAGCCCTCAGCAATGGAAAAACTGCTGTTACATACCATACCTCACTGTACAGCAATACATTAATAACAAACGCCCGTTGCAATAATGTCAAGTGATCAGGCCGTAACATCCCCAACCGATCTTCCATGCGTTCCACCATTCTCAACGAATTCGCCTCCCTAGCCTCCCGTATGGTCGCCCCCATACAAAATGTCAGTTTCTACATCATTCGTTACGTCCTTGTCTGCCTCGTGCGTCACATCCTCTGCAGACGCACTCAATTGCTTCACAGCACCCTCATGCTCCACCTCATGTTGCCTTTCCTCCACTTCCTCACTCCACAACCGACCATGCCTACATCCATCCTGGCGGTTCTGATCAGTCACTGCAGGTCCTCGCCTCGAAATGTCACTCCTTGATATTCCCTGGTCCGTCCTCCGCCTCGCACATTCAGCCGCTATGTGATGATAACCATCACAGTCTACAAGTTCTACGTTGTCCAGCGTAAGTTACAAGTATTTGTCCTAAATTCCTCTAAGACCACATGAAGGTATTGGTTGCCTCAGTCATCTTTAGGCTAAAACTACCTTCTGAATAACCCTCATAAGCCCCTGCCGTCCACTTGCCTTGTTGAGCTACATGTACATTCCAAACTTCCCAAACACACTACGTAGGTCAGCTTCATTCGCCTCGAAAGGCACGTTATGTAACTTGAAACATCGACCATCTTTACCAGGATGTCCTCATTAACCTTGATAGCAACATCCTGATAATGATCGAGTAGATCCTCATACACCTGTGATGACGGCAGTTTCACGAACATTTGGTAGTTTCCATTTAAGGCTACACCGTAAAGGTCGCAATCCTCAATCCCATGTGTGTCTCGAATAATCAGAGGCAACAACGTCAACGCCGAATCTTGATTAATTGTACCTCTCAGTAATTCTATGCCAACAATGTTAATTCTGCGGCGCACCCCAACCACCATTGTGACAGCCTGGCTAGCACTTGTGCCAGTCAGAGAGGTGTAGCAAATGTCCACCCTCACCAGCAGCTTGGCGAGGAATGTATCCAAGTTTATTAGGTATACACAGATAGTTGCATAATTATCATACATAGCAGCATGTGTAGAAAACCTAGGATAACCCAAAAAAGCAAGACTGACCTATTTCATTGAGATCCTTGTGATAAGTACTTATTTAAAAGTTCTAAACAGGTAAGTATCTTAACTGTCAAAGCAGTTACAAAAAGATACACTAGGGGAGAGGTAACATTCATTGTCATTAAAGATAGGATCGGATTATGAAATCGCTCTCCCTCTCTGTAACCTTATTCATAAGGTACATTTTGGCTTTCTTCTTGAACTGGCTCATGCAATGACAGGGTTTAACATGTGTTGGCAGTCTCTTCCACTTTTTTATTGCAGTACAGAAAAAAAAAGTATTTGAGGCCTGACTACTGACTCTAGGTACAGCAAAGTTGTTCTTTCTCTAGTTCAATATTGCTTTAGTTCCCAGCCTCAACAAAATTGGGGACACTGGTTGTGAGCAATTTTATAAACTTCAACATTCAGCATATCCAGTTGTAATTCATCCTGGTCTACATGCTGTCTTGGACCCAGGTCCAGAATGAATCTCGCCATTTTGTTCTGGGTGATTTGTATTTATCTGTTTTTTGACTAATCTTTTCAGCATATCACTACAAACTGGAAAATGGTAAATGCAATACCTAATGACAAAGCAGATGTCCTTAGCTTCGAACTATAGACCAATAAACCTTGCCTCAATAGTGGGAAAATTTATACAATCAATAATTGTTGAGGTAATTCAAAGAAACCTCGGACTATTTAATGGTCCAAGTTGGACCGAAAGTCATGTCTGTTGACTGTGGGGGTTATTTTTGTTTGTCATGACTTTTTTCTGAATCTCTCAGGAATGTTTCCAGCACCTTGTTGAATCCATCATGAAAAATTCAGGTTATTCTGGGGGCATTGCTGTGGGGCTACCCAGTGCTAGAAGGGTGTACCCCAATTGTTCACTTTTTTGTTCATTCATTGTTGCTAATGAAACTTGGTAATTGCAGGCAACAACTTGTGCACGTCCCTTAGTGGGCGTCCATGTTGATGGAGCTGTCTCTGGAGTGTCCGTCTCTTTACCAGCTGTATTTCGGGCACCCATCAGGCCAGATGTAGTTAATTTTGTTCATGACCAAATGGCAAAGAACACCCGGCAGCCATATGCAGTCAATAAAGATGCAGGTTAGTTTGTTTTTCACTGTTAATCCATGTTTTGTGAGTGTATAGCTAGATCAGTTTTAAATAGGTTATACAGGCAGCCATAAGTTTCAATATAATTTATACAAGTGGCTGGCAACAGCCTGGTTAAACAGTCAACAGAAAAGCCAGATTCTAGGCTGGGCTGTGAGGATGGAAGACTAAACCAGTTGTAAATATGGGAAAACTTTGAAGGATTTAAAGATTTTAAATGAACTTGCTCCAGAATAGGAGATTTGCTGTAAAGAACTTGTGCCATATGCATTTTCTTCTATCCTTTCACTGTCCAACCCCTTCCCCCTCCCCTCCCCCATTAATATTGCTGAGAAAAAATATCTGAAATGGTAGAGAATGTTTCTGAAGGTAATGACTCCAAAAGGACAAAATTTTATGGAAAACTTAAAATTATGCAGGTGCAAAGTAGTGGTCTGCAGATTTTATGCATCGGCAATTTTGCCCATTTTAAGCCTATTTTTGTCCTTTAAGCCAATTTCATTGCTCCAATTGACCAAATTCTTAGCTATTTTGCTAGTATGTTTTCCATTCTCTTGATTGAGCACAAGAAATTGCTCATCTAACTACAGTGGAACCTCTGTTTTTGTCATTAATTCGTTCCAGAAAATCTGACAAAAACCGAATTTAACGAAAACTGAAGCAATATTTCCAATAAAGAAATAAATAATTTAAATCCAATTAATCCATTACACCCAAAAGTATTAACAAGAAATGCATTTTAGAAAATAACTAGGTTTACATACAGAAAACAATGAAATCAATAGAAAGGACTAATGAAATAAGGACATAAGAAAGAACACTGCAGCAGACCTACTGGCCCATGTGAGGCAGGTCCAAGTCTCCTACTGGCTTAGGCCAATACCCCAGCCTAGTCGGGTCAGGTCACATTCGCTTTAGGGAGGAGCACGGCATTTGACCTAGTAGCACAAGCTAGTCAAGTCCAACTTGCACCCACTCGTGTATTTAACCCATTTTTAAAGCTACACAATGTTTTAGCCTCTATAATCGTTCTTGGGAGTTTGTTCCATTCATCCACAACTCTTACTATATCCTTCCTGAATCTGAATTTTTCCAACTTAACCCTTTCAGGGTTTCCAACGTACAAGTACGGCTTACACACCAGGGTTATTGACGTACTAGAACTCCTAAATTCTAGTGCCTTCAAACCTAGCGAGAGAGCTGTTAGGCCTACATATGAAAGAATGGGTCTGTGGTCAGTATGCACAGTATAAAAATCCTGCAGCAAAGTGCGTAATGGAAAAAAAAAACTGAGTGTTGTTGGATTAAAACCGACTTTGAACTGTATTTTCGTATGGTATTTATGGTTGTAGTCTAGTTTTCCTGGTCTCATTTCATAGAATGAAAGACATACATGGTCCTTCACGGCACCCCATATTGGCCCGCTGCCACCACCCTGGTGATCACACACTTCAACCTATTCCCCAATATTTTAGCGAATAACTTACTATCTGCACACAGTAAAGAAATAACCCTATAGTCCTTCACCGTGTGCAGACTGGCCACCTTCGGGACCAAGACTACCACCGCCGTCTCCTGCAAAACCCCCAGCTCACCCCTTGTTTTCATCTCATTCAACAACCTCGCCAAGAACTCCTTAAGCATGTCCCAATTTTGTAAGTAAAACTTGCATGGCAGACCGTCGATTCCCAGGGATTTACCCCTACTCATACTCGATAATGCCCTCCACACCTCCCCTTTTTCAATGTCCCCACCCAGCGCTATACGGTCCCCCCTGCTCAGGACATTGACCACATGCCGTCCCAACTGCCCTAACGCTTCCCCCTGCACACCTACACTCAAAAGTCCCGAACCATTCATCCGCATAACAACCCATCCCTTCCGTCGTACGAAGCACCTGCCCCACACGAAACCCTCCGACCTCCTCTTGCACTAACAAACATTCCATCTCTGTGGCCGCCTGACGCTTCCACTGCCCCCGCAGAACACGTCGACGGCCTGTCACCCCACAAAACTTCCTCTAACCCACCCTTAACCCGCACTGCATTAAACTTCTCATTCTGCAATTCCCTGATGCTAACGGGAAAGATTATTTGGTATTCTGGTAGCGGGTGGTTAAATGATACGTCTTCGGAGGCTTCTTACTTTATTGTTAAGTAGTGGGTACACAGGCTTGTGTTGTGCCCATGGCCCAGGCAGGGCCATCCCACGAGAGAGAGCTGGGAGTACTTGTGTCTTGCTGCTAGGCCGCTGTGTCAGTGAGAGGGAGGCATGGGCCGGCAGGCTGGCGTGCCTGCCTAGAGGCCTGGCTACAGAGGGCAGCACCTGAGTGGCGCGAAATATGAACTAAGCTGGCAGACAGCATGGGCTGTCTGTGCAGACAGTACAGGCTGTCTACATACGCTCGGCCACCTACCTTGCGTCGTCCCGACGCGACAATACTGGTGGTAAAAGAAACTCGGTCTCTCTCTCGTAGGAACGGGGCACAGAACACAAAATAAAAACATATATATACATATGGACATTGAAAAAAAACTTCCTACATGGAGGGAAGAAAAAAACATGTGGGGTGTGCTAAACATCGTGGTCATAGGCAATGAGCGTTGAAGGGCATCACTGCACGCCTTCCTGCGTCTGGACATACTGCAACACGGGAGACATCACTGCGGCTGAGCTGTGACGTAACAGGGTACGGTCTCCTCTGGTGAAGCAGTCATCGTAGGAGTCGCTGCAGGTTTTCACTCAACCTAGGGCACGACATGCTGGTGCCCTTGAGTGAGGCATCGACAAAACTCGGCAACTGGGCAGGACTTCTGGCAAGCGACTCAGGACACTTCTTGACTGGTACTGTCGCTGGGCTGTCACTGCCGGCGAGCGTGGAGCGAGTCGTGGCAGAGACGACTGGGCGAAACATCTGGGAGTCGTAACATCATACACCAGACTGCAGTGAGAGAGCTAGCAGTCAAAGTGACATCTTCTATGTGCAGGCTGCTCACTGAAGCTTGTGAGACGAGGCTGACACAGCGCCTGCCGACAGGCCTGGCTGCAGCTTGACGAGTATCATCTCTCGACAGTTATAGCAGAGGTTAGCCTAAGCGTCCCCAGACTTGCTTCTCTACATATAACTGCACTCTGACGGTCTGAAGGTGAAGTGAAACAAATCTCGATGGGAATCGTAGCAGGTACGATTCTGTAGAACATCACGAGCGATGAGCATAAAAGCTTTCTGTACAAGAGGGCTCGTATGCTCAGGGCTGAGTAATCGGCTGTCACACACACTGGTCACACGGGTGACTTAACACAGTGGTGCTACTCAGGTCTGGCTGGCCCAGACCTCACTGGACACACGGAAACTTTAAAAACACACCGCTGTACATACGGTACAACATGGCTTAACTAGCAAATGATGCTTTTCTGTGCACAAAACTGACACTAAGACATATACTAAAATGTGAGAACACTGACTAAGAGGAATTAATTAACACACGACAAATATTTTCTCTCAATCTTCTCGACAATACTGAAATAATTACTGAACACTCGATGGTGACATCATGTGATGTCAGGCGTGATGTCGCGAGGTGACGTCGGCAGACATCTCGAGGTGACGTCGGCAGACATCTCGAGGTGACGTCGGCAGACATCTCGAGGTGACGTCGGCAGACATCTCGAGGTGACGTCGGCAGACATCTCGAGGTGACGTCGGCAGACATCTCGAGGTGACGTCGGCAGACATCTCGAGGTGACGTCGGCAGACCTCTCGAGGTGACGTCGGCAGACCTCTCGAGGTGACGTCGGCAGACCTCTCGAGGTGACGTCAGGCAGACCTCTCGAGGTGACGTCAGGCAGACCTCTCGAGGTGACGTCAGGCAGACCTCTCGAGGTGACGTCAGGCAGACCTCTCGAGGTGACGTCAGGCAGACCTCTCGAGGTGATGTCAGGCAGACCTCTCGAGGTGACGTCAGGCAGACCTCTCGAGGTGACGTCAGGCAGACCTCTCGAGGTGACGTCAGGCAGACCTCTCGAGGTGACGTCAGGCAGACCTCTCGAGGTGACGTCAGGCAGACCTCTCGAGGTGACGTCAGGCAGACCTCTCGAGGTGACGTCAGGCAGACCTCTCGAGGTGACGTCAGGCAGACCTCTCGAGGTGACGTCAGGCAGACCTCTCGAGGTGACGTCAGGCAGACCTCTCGAGGTGACGTCAGGCAGACCTCTCGAGGTGACGTCAGGCAGACCTCTCGAGGTGACGTCAGGCAGACCTCTCGAGGTGACGTCAGGCAGACCTCTCGAGGTGACGTCAGGCAGACCTCTCGAGGTGACGTCAGGCAGACCTCTCGAGGTGACGTCAGGCAGACCTCTCGAGGTGACGTCAGGCAGACCTCTCGAGGTGACGTCAGGCAGACCTCTCGAGGTGACGTCAGGCAGACCTCTCGAGGTGACGTCAGGCAGACCTCTCGAGGTGACGTCAGGCAGACCTCTCGAGGTGACGTCAGGCAGACCTCTCGAGGTGACGTCAGGCAGACCTCTCGAGGTGACGTCAGGCAGACCTCTCGAGGTGACGTCAGGCAGACCTCTCGAGGTGACGTCAGGCAGACCTCTCGAGGTGACGTCAGGCAGACCTCTCGAGGTGACGTCAGGCAGACCTCTCGAGGTGACGTCAGGCAGACCTCTCGAGGTGACGTCAGGCAGACCTCTCGAGGTGACGTCAGGCAGACCTCTCGAGGTGACGTCAGGCAGACCTCTCGAGGTGACGTCAGGCAGACCTCTCGAGGTGACGTCAGGCAGACCTCTCGAGGTGACGTCAGGCAGACCTCTCGAGGTGACGTCAGGCAGACCTCTCGAGGTGACGTCAGGCAGACCTCTCGAGGTGACGTCAGGCAGACCTCTCGAGGTGACGTCAGGCAGACCTCTCGAGGTGACGTCAGGCAGACCTCTCGAGGTGACGTCAGGCAGACCTCTCGAGGTGACGTCAGGCAGACCTCTCGAGGTGA